CGGAACAGCCTCGCCGCCCCTTCCCGTGCCCGGCCCCGCCGTGTCCCCGGGGCGGCGGTGCCCAGCGCCAGGCAGCAGGGGACGCGTCCCGGTGCCCTTGGCGCCGCCGACCTCGCCCGCCCGGCCGCCGCCCTCCCTCGCTGCCCCGCTCCCCGCGGCCGGTGCCCGCGGGCCGTACCTGTCGGAGGGCGCGCAGCGAGCGGCCCAGCGCGCGGCCGAGGCAGCGGGACCGCCACAGCGGCACCATCGCGGCGGCGGCAGCGGCGGCGGCGGGAGGGGCCGCAGGGCGGACACCGGAACCAGGCCCGGCGCGAGGCGGAAGCGCGGGGGGCCGGACCAAGCGCCCAGAGCGGGGGGAGCAGCCGGGGCGGGACCATCGCGGCGGGGCTGGGCTGTGGGGCCGGGCCGGGCTGTGGGGCTGTGGGGCAGGGCCGGGCTGTGGGGCCGGGCTGGGCTGCGGGGCCGGGCTGTGGAACAGGGCCGGGCTGTGGGGCACGGCCGGGCTGCGGGGCAGGGCCAGGCGGGACGGGGCCTGCTCATAATATTGCTGTGTGTTACCATATACGTAATAATATAGGTATTAACACATCCTTTATAATATATGTGATATTGAATACTATTACTTATAGATGACATACATATATCTCTGTATTACATATGCTTATATAAACACGTATGCGTACATATAGATGTTATTATACGTAATGGCATATATATGTGTGTAATAAATAACCCCGTGCATTACGAAGAGTGCCGTTTCATGACGCTCTGCTCTGAAGCAGCCCTGGGTCGCTGCAGGGCAGCTGTGGCCGTGTTTTCCCTGCTCACCTTGGCAAACCGCGGCGCTGTGTGTGGTGACATTGCCGCAGGCATCACCCCGTGGGATGCTGCATGGTTAGAATGACCTCATTAGGTCATTCACCATGGCAAACAGGAAAATGAGCCCACAAGTAAGCCCTGTTCTTCAGCTGCACTCTGTGTGTTGAAAACATTTGAGAATTCCCCAGCTAGCTTCTGTTTTCTGCCTGCTTCCAGGCAGGGAACCACAGGTGGAGGAAAACCCAAGGAACCTATTTACAGATTCTGAGAATCAGCTCAGGATAGTTACAAAGGGCTGTCTGGCAGCCAGGCATCTCTCAAGGAGCCAAGTCTGGGTTATGCACATGTGCTTAATTTAGCCACTGCTTAATAATACATGAATGGTTAACTGCAAGCTTCAAAATATGAGATCATTTTCAAAGGAAAGAGGTTGAATAAAAATCAACAGGGGATAGTCTCCAAGGCTTTGAGGATGAGCTGACTGCTCTAATAAAAGGTAACTGAGCCAGAAAGGCTCTCTGCCAGGGATTTCTCTGTGATCCATCTTTCGAAGACAGATCTTGTTGTTGTTCTTGCCTTGAACAGTATTGACCACCTGATGTCAACTGCCTTTAACCACAGCCTCCTGCCTCCCCAGTGAATACACCAGGCATTGCCATGCTCAGTTAGCCTGTGGAAGCACAGTAGATGAAGCCCCAGGAGTGGCATGCATGGCTAGGCTTTGCCTACCCACCCACAGCTCCTGCATGAGGAGAAGTGTCTGACAACCACTGGTGTGCTGCTGGGGCAGGTGGGTTTGCCCTGGGGCTGGGGCGAGGATGTGCTCAGCTGGGAGCGATGCCAGCTCTGCTGGTGCTGTCTGTAAAGCACCCTGTGACAAACAAGGGACTCCGTGCTGCTGCTTCTCCTGTGTTGTCCCATTTTTTGCCCATGTCCTATGCTGTAGACCTCCAGGACAGCCAAATTGCCTCCGTGCCTGCATGGTGTGGGATGTGGGAAATACCTGGCCACCTTCCATGGAAGATGGGTAGCTGGTGGGATCTGGGCCAGCTCCTTCCTTGCCTGTGGCACGGCTTGTCAGCCTGCTGTATTTGCATTGTCTCACTAACATTTCACTATCCTGGGTCCTGAATGGGGCTTCCGGCCAAATTCCAGGCCAAAATTGCTCCTCTGGGCCTCTGCCCACCTGGGCAGCCAGCAGCTCGGCACCTGATAGCCCTTGCCTGTCTGGCTCCAGGGGCTACGACTGCGGCACACAGCAGGGAAGGTGGCCGGACGCTGGTGTTGGACCTGACCTCCTGGCTGTCCATCTGCATATTCAGAAGTCGTTTCCAGCTGGTTGGCTGCCTCCGGCCTCCCCACTCCCTCTTTAAAGGCCCTGAGCGCGGCGGGAGGACGCGCCGGCACTGCCTCTGTGGCTCCCGGCGCTCCCGGGGCTGCCCTCGGGCACCGCGCTCCCCGCGCTCCCGGTGCTCCCGGGGCTGCCCTCGGGCACCGCGCTCCCGGTTCTCCCGGGGCTGCCCTTGGGCACCGCGCTCCCCGCGCTCCCGGGGCTGCCCTCGGGCACCGCGCTCCCGGGGCTGCCCGCGGCTCGGCTCGGGCACCGGTGCCCCCGGCCAGAGCCATGCGGCGGCCGGGGAAGGCGCTGCGGGGAATTTCCGTCCGGACGGACAGCCCGCCGCTCCGTGCACGGCTGTCCCACCGAGGAGCACTCAGGGAGCCCACGAGGGGCGGCGGCTTCAATTTTGGAGAAGGCACACTGCCCTCGTCTTCTGAGCATCTTCGTTCCGTTCCTTTTTCTTCAGGTAGGAGGAGTCTCGGCTGCTTTTTAGTGTTCTGGAGGGTGGCACTAGTGAAAGCTGCCAGTAAGAGTGGGAACCAAAGCACGCACCCGCTAACTTCGTGGGGAAAGAGCTGCATCAGCAGGAGGAGTTTGCTTAGGGCAGCACCTGCTGGTCCGGCGGTGCCGGGGATGCTGCGAGGGGGAGCCAGGGCCACCCACAGCAGGCTGCCGTGGCCTGGGACAGGAGGCTCTGCTCCCTCCCTCCAAATCTCCAGAAGAAAGACCGTGATGCTGGAAATCTCAAGCAGGTGGAGGTCACCTTGCCAGCTCTGAGTTGATCTGTTTAAAAGGGATGTATCACAGGTTCCAGGGGACTGGGAAACCTCAGCCCAGGGGACAGGCAAGCTCCTGACTGACCCTGCTGTTGAGCACAGCAGATGAGAGAAATTGTGAGCAAGTGTCAAAATAAGGTGTTTCTGTAGAAAAACAGTGAGGTTACAGGACCACACCACTGAGGAAGGATTAAGGCTGGATGGAATCTGTGACTGCAGTGTGTTTGCTGTGTGACTGTGCTGGGTGCAGAGGGCAGGCTGAGAGGCAGCTGCAGGCAATGGTCAAGCTTGTAACACAAGGGCAAGGCAGGATGGTGAGAGCTGCTGGCACCCCACCCTTGTGCTGGCTGAGGATAAACTGAGCAGTTTGAAAGGCCCTACACCAGACTCTTAGGAAAATGAAACCCTAATGGTGTGGATGGGTGGGGAGGCAACACAGATCAACATGTGGTGTCAGATAACCCAGAAAATACTTGGTTTGTCAAGACTATGGCTCTGCAAAAGGTAGAGTCTCCCAGGCACCTGCCTGGAATTCAGGGTGTTTGAAGAAAGGCAACCTGCTAAAAACCCCTGAGAAGAAACCCATTTTCTACACTGCCTGGAGGACTTGGCCTGGAGCAGCTACAGGGACAGGAGACTGATGGTGTTGAAAATGATCAGGTATTTCTGGGAACAGCAAAAGAATCTCAGACTTTAAAAGGTGTCCGGAAAAGACAAGAGCTGTCCTAATTTAGCGGTGCAAAGCTGCTGCTAATTAATGTGGATAAGGAAGAAACATCCCTCAGGGATGGTTACTGTGTAATCGCCTAGGATACAATGTTTTACACTTTTGCAAAGCTGTGCAAGGGGGGAATGAGCGGAGGGGGTGAATCCCTGCTTGGAGCCAGCATGACAATTTTAAGCCTGAGGCTGCTGGCTCAGTATTTTTTCTCTTCCCTGATAATCCCCATCCTCATTTATTTTATTCAGTGTTTTGCCAAGCCCTTAGGAACCCCATGCTGCATTAGCCTGAACATCTCGATGCATCTTGCTCACAGCAGGTCACACTGCACTTTTACCCTCTCTGTGTCCTCCTCCACCAGGCTCTTTGTGCTGGCCCAGCCCCAGGTGCTGCCACCCTTCCCCGAGCCCTGGGGGCTCTCTGGGGGTGTTGGGGCCAGCAGAGCTGGCAGCACTCATGGCCTAGCTGGCTGTGTCAATACCTTCACCAGGGATGCAGCTGCTCCTCTGCGCTCTGCCAGCACCCAGGAGCACCAAACCCACCCTTTGCCCAGGTGTACGTGGCAAAGGGCTCTGCCTGCTGCTCCCTGCCCTCACAGCAGAGTCCACAAGCCCAGAGGGCAGTCTCCCCAAATGCCTCTGGTGCAGATGCAGCTGGTGATGTGGGAAGTTTGTGCTGCCAGGCACTGCCGGGCCCAAAGCCGGTTGTGAAAAATGCCAATCACTTGTTTTTAAAATTTTAAAAGTTTAATAGTAATAAAATGGTTATAAAAATAGTAATACAATTAGAGTAATAATAATTTGGACAATTTGGATTAGGACAATATGAGACAATAGAAACAAAGAGTTATGGACATCCAGGTACCTTTTTCTGGGCAGCATAAGCCCAAAAAAGGACCCTCGTTAACAAAGGATTAACCCTTAAAAACAATAACCTGTTGCATATTCATACACCCCATACATGATGCATAAATTCCATTCAAATAGAGGATTCTGTCTGGTCATTGTCAATTTCTTCCTCTGAATCCTAACAAGTGCCTTTGAGGTGGGAAGAAGATAATTTCTTCTGATAAGAGGGCAATAAATTCTTTTTCTCTGAAAGATTCAGGTGTCTTGTGGCTGCTATTGTGCTGCGAGTCCTTTCTTAAAAAAAAGTATCCTACATAGCATAATTTCTATTCTAACATTTTTTCATAACCTAAAACTATATTTAACACACTACTTAAAAGAATTAATACAGCATTACTTTCTAACACAATACATATAATATTAATTTTAATATTTGTGAAAAGCCATTAATAAAATATGCATTTTTCACAAGGTGAAATGTACTCTGGGCACGATGAATGCCTGGCTGGTAGGTGGGTGGTGGTGTGGTGCCCAGGGCATTGCTGCTGGCGTGTGACATCTGACAGTCTGCTCACAGGTTTTGCAGTGCCTGGAGGTTTCTGTCTGAGTCGTTCCCTGGTGAAATAGTTTTTGCAGGGGAGCAGGGATGCCATGGAAATCTGGGAGAAAAAAAAATCTTTGGCCCTGTGCTTGGAAAACTGCTCTGTATGAGGTCCTCTTTCTTGCTCTTTCTCCAGTTCCACAGCACTAGCAGGCTGAAACATCAAACATCTGGAAGCCTGCCAGTCTGTCCAGGCAGGAAGAAGATACGATGGACAGCAGGACTGGCTTTGAGCGGGATAGAGACCGTGCCACTTCAGGGCATGGCCAGGGGCTGAAACTGGAGCCCTGTTTCCAGACTAACTCTCTCCTGCCTTCCCCCAGTGCATCCCTGATTCCACAGCTCCTCAGCCACACAATGGTTGGCAGGAACATGGATCCCACCGTTCTTTTCCCTTCCTCTCAGGCAGTGGCCCTGCCTCATGACTACAAATGTGGTGCATGTCCTGGAGAAGAAGCACAAGCCCTGGCTTTCCCCAGGACCCGTGTCCCAGCTCCCCTGCCCTGTGCTGGTGGTGGGGATGAGCTCTCCAACCAGCACCCACGGGAGCAGCTCTGTGACCAGCACCTACGAGCCAAGCGGGCCAGGGTGGAGAGCATCATCCAGGGCATGAGCCTCCCACCAACCCCGCAGGCATCTGACATGAGCCTGGAGGCAGCTTTTGGGCATGAGAGGGAAAGGGGTGGGGAAATGCCCCAGGAGAGCAAGAGGAAGCCAAGAGTGCCCCAGCAGGGCATGGGGGCAGCTGGAAGAGTGGCTCCCACAGGGGGCAGCTCCCATGCCAAGGGCTGCCAGCAGCTGAAAGAGCAGCTCTGCTTCTTAGAGCAGCAGCTGAGGTGGCTTCAGGAGAAGTTCTACCAAGTCTGTGACTCTGAGGATGCTGCCCAAACACAGGAAGATTCAGAGAAAGTGCAGCCACTGCCTGGAAAGCCTGAAGACAGACTGAACAAGGACAGTGCCACTGCCACCAGCAACCCACGCCGAGTGCCTCTCAGGAGGAGTGTCCTGGAGGCGTGTGGGCTGGAGGAGGCTGAGGACAGAGGTGACACAGGTGGCCTGCCCTCGTCAGTGAGGGTACTCTCACAGGCACTGAAGCATGAGCTGTCTGTGGTGACATGCCAGGTAGTGGACTCTGTCCTGAAGACTCTCTGGCCAAAGGCAGACAGCCACATCCAGAAGCAGCTCCACAGCCTTCCGATGCTGGGGCCAGATGCCAGGAGAGAGTATTCTGCTGGTGGGAAATGCAGAAAGCCACTTGCTAAGCCATCTGCCATGAATGCACCAGGCTCCCTGGGCTCACCCCAGGCTGAGGCCCTGACAGGAGCTTTGGGGAAGAGCCTGGGTTCTTATGCTGCCTCCTTCAGCTCAAAGGGGGTCAGAAAATCCTCTCGGGTACCCAGCATGGGTTATTCCCTGGGCTCAGCCACGCCTGTCCAGCACAGCCAGCTGCTGAGCCAGCTGTTGGGCTATGGCCAGCACAGCCCCTGGGGCAGCGACTCTTGTGAGAGCCCATCTGCTCTGGAGAGGGGTTGTCCAGAGCCCCTCAAGCTGTCCTGGGGATCTGTTAAACTGAGGTCATCGATTGCGAGACAGCAGCAGCACCATCCCCTGCCCCTGAGCCCTGCCAGCATGGAGAGCCTGGCACTGCTGCCAGCTGGCAGGGATGGCCATGGTGAGCTGCCAGCTGCAAATGATGGAACACCCTTTGCCTCGACCCACATATCCTTTGGGGGCAGCTAGAGGTCCCTGGGGAATGTGGTCCCCTTGTCCTCTGGAGCCACAGCTTGGCACTGCCCCTGCTGGTCTCCACAGGGCCAAGGTCCCTGCTGCTCTACAGGGGCTAAACAGGTGTGGGCAGGAAAGGAGCCCTAAGCCATGGAGGGGCACTGCCACTCCTCAGGGTTGGCCAGATGCTGTAGCATAGCTGTGGGTACAAGCCAGGAGCTACCAAGCCTCCTCTTGGGCTGTACTGGGGGTCCTGTCATCTTAAACCATGAGCAGGAGTCTCATAGAAATTCTGGCTCTCACAAGACTGTGAAGTGCTGTGGGGAGCATTAGCTTCCTCAGGGATTCTCAAGGAAAAAACCAGAGGCTGTCCAGCCAAGGATGAACCCCCTCTGCCCCCCTTACAGGCCATGAGGGGCTATTGAGGGCACTGGGCATGGTGTGTCAGGGGTGGTGCTCAGGGACATGCCGAGCTCGGGATTGGCTACGTGCAGGCTTTCCTTGACCCCAGGGCAGATACAGGAGGCGCTGACCCCCGGGCACCTGAAGAAGGCCAAGCTGATGTTTTTCTTCACCCGCTACCCCAGCTCCACTCTGCTGAAGACCTACTTCCTTGACGTGCAGGTAAAAGAGCAGCAGCCAGAACTGCTGCTGGGCAGGGCTCCCATGTGGTGTGGCACCTAGCCTGCCTCCCTGGGAACCATGAGGAAAGGGCTGCTCTTGTGTCCCCCTGCCCTGCTGGCAGGAGATGGGGGACAGCACCCATTTATTTCAGCATGGGCTGCCTAGGAGCAGGTGCACAGGGTGGTGGCAGACATGGGCTGTCAGCTCTTCACTCTGTGCAATCGAGTTATTCAGATTAAAGCACCCCATGAATGTGCCTTCTCACTGCAGGGCAGCTGGGATCCGAATCTCAGTGTGGAGAACACCTGGGACACGCTGATGTCATTGCCCCAACTTGGGGCAGGGCTGGGTTTGGGCCAGTCCAGCAGTGCCTGGTTGGGTGTGCAGGGGCTCGTGGGGAGGGAGGATCCAAGCTGGCCTAACACCATCCTCTGGCTGTCCCCCCACCAGTTCAGCCGCTGCATCACCTCCCAGCTCATCAAGTGGTTCAGCAACTTCCGTGAGTTTTACTACATCCAGGTGGAGAAGTTTGCCCGGCAGGCCCTGCTGGAGGGTGTTGTGGATGCTTGCACTCTCCAGGTCTCCCGGGACTCAGAGCTCTTCCGTGCCCTCAACATGCACTACAACAAGGGGAATGACTTTGAGGTGAGGAGGGGGATGGGGGAAAGGGGGTGGTGGTGTTTGTAGGGGTCAGGAGGCACCATGACATGGTGGTGTCACTGGCTGATGCCTGTCTTGCTGCAGGTGCCAGGGCGCTTCCTGGAGGTGGCCAGCCTGACACTGCAGGAGTTCTTCAGTGCCGTCAGGGCAGGCAAGGATGCTGACCCCTCCTGGAAGAAACCCATTTACAAAATCATTTCCAAACTGGACAGTGACATCCCAGAAGGGTTCAAAGCTGCTGGCTGCTCCCAGGAACTGCTCCACAGCTGAGTCTCTGTGAAAGCAGCCCTGGGTTGTGTGTGCAGCCACCATGTGCACCTCATGGGCACTCTGTACAGTACCTGTTTTTTGGGGTATTCTCTCTCTGAGAGCCATGCACTCTCTGTAAGACAGCTCCTTAGGTGAGGCCTATCACTTGCCTCATGTGCTGGGATTTTATGCTGCATTGCATATGCTGCATTATGCGCCTTTTATTCTGCTGCTCAGAACTGGTGAGGACCACCAGAAGGGAGGGACAGAGATGAAGCCATCAGGTTGGAGCCTGAGAAGTTGCCCTGTCCCAGCTCTCCCTATGATCCTGACTGAGCTGCCTTCATTCTCTCTTTCAGAGGGTCAAATACCAGGGCAAACAGCCTTGCTGTTTATAAAACAGGAAGAGGTCCTAGTAGTGGGCAAAGTTTCCTTGGCACAGCAGACTAGCGGATGTACTGAGTCCAAAAGCATGACTCAGATTCTGTCCAGATACAACACACCAGTGTCCAAAGAAAACAGCTGGTGAATTCCAGCGCTTCAAGCACTCCATGGGGATAGCTGTTCCTGTCTGGGATATGTAAAAACTATGTTTGTTGTAGCCAACAAGAATAACAGTCTCCTCCACCTCCCCTGTGCTGTTAGACCAGACCCCCCCGTGCAGCTGTGTGCTGTGGCCAAGCAGTGTGTACTCTCCAGCAGTGTTCTCTGGCATGCTGGAGCAGAGCAGGGTGCACAGCCAGCTCTGCTTGGCACTCCAAAGAGCCTCCATCAGCTCATCACCTGGGAGAACAGCTCCATGTTAAACACCCATCCACGTTCCCTCACACCGTGCTCCTGCTTGCAAAGCTGCCCCAAGCATCTCTGTTCTGTACTCTGCCCCTGGTGAAAGAGTAGAATGTGTGAAAGAGGAGATGAAATGGTGAAAGAGGAGAATGTGATTTGAGATCCATTAGTCCCTGTGGGTTTAACACAAGCTGGGGAAGAACTGGGCCTTGACATCTACAACCCCATTGCTGTAAGGGCTGTAAACTCAAGGAAGTTTCTTTACCCTGTGGCCAAGACTTAGAGACCATTTTTCTACCTGATGGAGAAGTGTTTTGTGTTAAGGGCTCTCTAATCCTGACAGAGGTGGCAGTGGAGAGGAAAAGGCTGTGAAGAGGAGGGAGTCCTGACAGAGGCATGGCATGAGGGCACCGGGAGGGCAGTGATGAGCCACAAGATACTCACACAAAACCCTCAGGGAGAAGAAGACTGGGAAAAGGCCAAGTTAATTTTGGGTGTGCTGTAAGATGTCAGTTGGTACTAGAGTGCAGCAAGTGACTCTTGAGAGAAGAATCACAGCTCCAGCATCAGACAAATGCATGGGGTGATCCACAGGCAATGCATCTCCAGGAGTAAAGAAGTGGAAACATCAGGACATAATGGGGAGCTCCGAAATAGGGGCAGTTTGATAATGGTTCCCCCCATTACGAGTGTGGCCATGCAGATTTCCTGCTTCTTTTTGTATATTTATTTCTCCAAGTTTGTATATTTTACAACACCAACACCAAATTTACATGATTCCTTTTAAAATAAACACGTTGTTTAAGCTACCCCTTTACATCCCTGAAGACCTATTTGATGATGTCTGTTCTAAAGAGTTATCCTAGAAATTTCTGGCTTTTTGTTGGGAAAAATAACACTGCAGAAAAAGGGCAGTCCTTCTGCCAGCACCTCTGTGGGGTCAAGCAGGCCCCACTAACCAACACCAGCTCCTTTAAACCTGCCCCCTCACCCCAGTGCCTCATGGTTAGTCTGCTCTGAAGTGCAACTTGTGAGGATCAGGAAGGGGGGCTGGAGGCACACAGAGCCATATCCCAAAGCTTAAGGGTCTGGACTCAAATGTACAACATCAGATAAATGCTGCTGGTGGTACCATGAATGTGCCATTCCTGCAGGCAATAATGACCCCAGAGCTTAAGTAATCCTTTGGATAGGCAAAACCAAAGCTGCTGGAAAGGGGAATTGTGGCTGGCTCAGGGAAGGGTCAGCAAATTCATCTGTTCGAGCTAAATAATTAGGGAACATAAGGTACAGGTTTACTGGAGGCATCCTGCTGACACAAAGCCTTTCACACAGAGTTCCTGGTGGGGGTAGCAGTTTCTTGCTTCCTGTGGTAACATGCAAGTCCATGAGTGTCAGTAAAACAGCAGATGGGGGACTGAGGACAAGACAGTGCCCCAAATCGCAGTCACGCAGTGGCTGAGGTTGTAGGAGATGTCTGGAGGTCTTGTCAAACCCCCTGCTCTAGCAGGGCCACTGAGATGGCTGCCCAGGACCATGTCAGAGGGGTTTTAAGTGTCTCTAAGGAGGGAATGTTCGTGAAAGGGTCCTTCCCTCAAACACACATTAATGAAGACATTTAACAGGACTGGACTATTTGCAGCAGTATTTTTGCTCCAGTGGTTGCCCTATAATTACAAGTGGGAACTAAAGAGCTGTGTATTACACTGTTTTTTGGGAAATGTGGGCCAGTATGACCACGACAAACAGCATCTGGCACCAGTTATCCTTTGCCTGTGATGAGGTCTCCCTACTTGTATCCATGGGTTCAATTCTACCCATGTAGATTTCCCATCCAACAAAGATGCTAAAAAAAACCCCAAGGAAACCCCAAAATAGACAAACAAAAACCCCCCACAACATCCCCCCCAAAACAACAACAACAAAACCAAAACAAACCCCCAGAAAACAAAACAAAAAGGCCCCCAGCACGGCTAGAGAGACTGCAAAGGACTCAAGATTACAGGACACTTGAACCATTGGCTGGCATCTTCTTTGGCAGCTTTTTAACCTCTGTCTACCTTCAGCCAAGTGCGACAGAGACCACAGAAGTGTCAGAGGTGCAGAGGTAGAATCTGCCCATCTTTTTGTCACCCTGTGGTCCTCCTGCAAGCAGAGATCTTGCCTGGGGAGCCTGGAGTGCAGCTGTCTCCTCCAGGGCCACTTGTCTGTTTGGAAGCAAGGGGGTTGCACTCAGACAGGCACAACTCTGCTGCTGAAGCCGAGTGAGCTGAATCAAAGAGCCTTGTGCTCCTGTGAGAGCCTTGGAGAGCAGCAGCCAGCTGAGAAAGAAGGAACTCACACTGCCTTCCCTCCTACCTGAGTCACAAAGTACTGATATGGAGAAGGCAGTACATCTGCTGGGACGTGGGGAAAGCTGGAATTACTCTAGGGGCAATGGAGCCTGAAGAGTGAGGGAAATAGGGCGTGAATTCCAACACTGTCCAGTTACTGGTGGGGTTCTGCAGGGCTCCAGTCTCTTCAACATCTCAATGACTTAGACTCAGGATCAAAAGAATACTCAGAATACTAAGTTTGCCAATGTTAACCCCCTTGAGGGCAGAGAGGTCCTGCAGAGAGACCTCAACAAATCAGACAGATGGGCACCAGTTGTATGAAGCTGAACAAGGGCAAGTGGTGGACTCTGCACCTGGGATGGGGTAAGCCTGGTTGTGTGTCTCCACCATCCTCAGAAGGTGAAGCAGAGGGGCAGGCACTGATTTCTTCTCTGGTGACCAGTGACAGGACTTGAGGAAATGGCATGAGGCTGAGTCAGTTTAGGTTAGATATCAGGAAAAGGTGTTTTACCCCGGGGGTGGTTGGAAACTGACACAGACTCCCAAGGGAAGTGGTCACAGCCCCAGGTTTAACAGCGTTCAAGAATTATTTGAACAATCTCTCAGCCATGGTGTAACTCTTGGGGTGTTCTGGGCAGAGAGGGGAGTTGAACGGGATGATCCTGATGAGTCCTTTCCAACTCAGCATATTCTGTGCTTCTATGAAATGAAGGTTTCACTACCTGTGCTGTGCAGGGTGTGGTGTGTAACATCATTTATGTTCTAGTTGTACCCAAGACATAGAAGCTAGTTTTCAAACAAAGCCTAATGGATGCCACCACAGAGAGAGTCCTACTGAAAAAGTGAGTCTGCCTGGAGGGCTGAGGGGAGAAGGGAGAGCTGCTGCCCACACAGAGACTATGGTCATGACTCCCAGGCTTGCTGGGCTCTTTCTTCACCATTTCCCACTAATTAGCCAAGGAAGTAATTTGGGTAGTGCAGTCACTACTGCTGAGTTTCATCTTTAAATAAAAAAATCCTTTCCTTCCCTCTATCCAAATTTCTGTGGTATATGCAAAAAGCCCACAGGCACTCATAACTATCTCCTCTGGGAATAATTCCTCAGGGCTATCCTTTTACATTTCCAATTGCATTCCCAGCCCATCCACAACACACGAGTCCACACAGCTATACAGCAGCAAAGGCTGCTAAATATTTAAAATCACTGGTTCCTGCCTCCAGGCTGTGGCTGCTGAAAGATGGAGGTGTGACCACACTGACTAAGCTGGCAAGGGCCTGAGAGCCCTTATGTACTCCTCTAAATTAATACCTACCATAAGAGCCCTTATTACTCATGTGTAGCTAAGTAGAGCTTGAAGAAGTTCCTACTGAATGTTTGCCCTGTATGCCAAAATAGTTTGGGGGAAATTGACAATAAAATAGAAGAAATAAACAAAAATATGTTTAATGACTTGCACGTGTCTACAGTGACTGAACCAGCCCTAGAAGGTCCCAGATAAAAAAATGTTTGTGAAAGGGTCCTTTCCTCGAACACACATGTCAGATTCTTATTTGACATCAGGGCAGCTCTCCACATAAATATCCCTTAGTGAGCCAGTGGTCCATGTTCATGAAAACTCAGTATTTGCTGTCCCATTATAAGCACTGGAAGGACAGATTAATCCAGTGTACAATTACCACATTTGAGAGATGTGACTTTTCACTGGAGAAGACAGCCCTTCCTCTGCCTCTTGAGCACAGTGCTGCCTGTGCTGCAGACCTAGCACCACCTGGGGAGAAGGTGAAGCAATGCATGGAGAGACTGTGGAGAGCAGTCCTGAGAATAAAACAGGCTGTGGGTCACTCAGGACAGACTGGTATGTCTAGCTGATAGCAAAAGCTTTTTCCTTTTGCACACCAAGAAATAATGTATTAGTTGAACCATGGACCAGGACATGTGAACTGGGGCTCTGCCAGGTGCCATGGCAGAGCAGCAGCCAGGTGAGCTGTTCTCCCTTGACTTACTCAATGAAAGCCCTGTTTTGCCAGTGGGAAAGGAGCCCCAGAGCCATGGCTGCCCTGGCTCATCAGCCTGCTGTAGCAGCTCAGGTGCAAGCACAAAAGCTCAGGTGCAGAGATGAGCACGCTGGAGAAGGGAGACTGGAGCTTTGCCCAGACATGACACCATAGGCTGGACACCATGACAGGGAGGCCATCCTGTAACCCAGGGGCTTTTGAGGGAGATACTCTGATCAAGGGCACACAAAGGAGTGAGCACAGCCAGCCTCTGCTGGAAGCTGTCTCCACCACCCAAACCCCACAGGCTGGTGCTTGTCCTGGACGGGGGTGGCTGGGGTGGGAGGACAGACAGGCTGTGAGAGAAAAAGCACACATGTCCATGCATACACATACATCAAACCAATAAATCAGTTTTTAAAAGCAGGCCTAATAGAGAAGGATTGAGAATGGCTATTCAAGTAAAACCAGGGAGACCTGTGCACAGATCTGAAGGAAAAGCAGATTTAAGTCAGCACTCAACACTTGTGAGGACAGAGTTCATATTCATATACTAATTC